CATGGGTCATGTGCAGTTGACTTCATCAGGATCTTTGGACAGCTGTTAGTTTTCTAGGTTTCTACAAATCGCCTTCAGCATGGGTAATTCCCTCAGGTACAGGATACCCCTCTGCATGGAGGTCCACTTGCCTGGTTGACATAGATTTCCTTCAAGGGATACCTTTCTTTCAGGCTTGAGAGGATTAATTTCCTCGTGCCCTTTTCCATTGGTTTTCTCAATCACCCCTCACCTACAGGAGGATCCCAGCTGCTTGGCTTCCCTGCCCTCTGATCCAGACTGCTAGCCCCCTTCTCTCAGCACTGGAGCAGCCAGCTGACAATGTGCTCACCGAGATGATGGCTAAAATATTTTCCCATGTCTCGTAGCTTACCCTGGGATAGGGATCGCATGGTTTCTGATGCTTATATGACCTCTTCTTCTTGGTCATCCTGCTTCCATGATGGCCCAGCTTAGGAGAAACCTGCCTCTTCTACTTCCTCCTCCTTTCTTGTCTGGGTAGGAGTTTCTTTCCTTTCTAAAGAAAAACTGACTTTCACAACCATTGTTTTCTCTTGCATAAGGAGGCAACCGATACTGGCACAGGCTGGCTCTCTGGCCCAGCCATGGGGCCCATTGCAGGTGCTGGAGAGGCTCCAGGGCCCATCGCTGGAGTTGTTCTAGCTGCGGGGCCTTTTGGATGAGTTGGAGTGGCTGCAGTGCCTATCACAGGTTTGGGAGTGGCTATAGGGCCTGTCACAGGGGTCAGTTTAACTTTGGGTGCACCTCAGGAGCTGGAGTGCCTGCAGGGCCTGTTGCAGGGTTTGGAGTGCTTTGGACAGGCTATATGCCTGTCCTGGAGGAGAAGGGGGAGGTGCAGGAGAAAGGGAGAGGGAAGAAGTGGTGAAAAGCATCCCCCACTGTCCATCCCAGTTCCACCCACCCTGCATAGGTTTACTCCCCAAGGAGAAAAGGCAAAGAGTTTAAAAGAGTGTAATTCTAAATAATTTCTAAGAGATGAAGAGATGGTTCCTGAGGTATGGAGGCAGCAATTATTTTATCCCGTCATAAGTCAGCGTTATCCAATACAGCAAAACAGTAACCTTAAACCAGCCCCCAGAACTGATAAAGATCATGCTGTGGATGACCATTAGTAATGTGCTGTACAACACAATTCTGAAATATCAAAAATATCAATGCTGTGATCAGCAACTGTTAACCTGATCTAATGCTTGTAACAATTTACTTTTAAAACACTGTGTTCAGATCTGTCATCTCAACCTTTGTGCTCCACGCTAGGCAACAAAAAGCCTTCCTCAGGTTTGACCCAGCAGGCAGCTAAGAACTGTACAGATATTCATCCAATGGGCTGTAGGAGGGAAGAGGGAGAAAAAAAAAGTAAAAGTTTATGAGTTGATATAAAAGCAGATTAATAGGACACAAAGGAAATAATAACATCAATAGCAATAAATTGTTATTATTATATATTTTATTATTATTATTATTGTTATTATTATTATTATTATTATTATTATTATTATTATTATTATTATTATTATTATTATTATTATTATTATTATTATTATTATTATTATTAATAATAATTATTATAGACACAGATATAATTATTATTATGGCCTGGCACATCAGACCCACAAAATGTATCAGGCTCTACTAGACACCAGTGCACAGAGTACCCTAATGCCATCAAGCTAGAAAGATGTAGAAACCACCTGTATTTCTGGAGTGACAGGGGGAACCCAACAGTTAACTGTACTGGAGGCTGAAGTGAGTCTAACAGGGAAGGAATGGCAAAAGCATCCCATTGGAACTCGCTTGGAGGCTACGTGCATTCTTGGCATAGACTGCTTCAGGAGAGAGAATTCAGAGTTCCAAGAGGGCACCACCGGTGGGGCTTTGGTAGAGCTGCCTTGGAGACAAAGGACATGAAGCAGTTGTCTACCTTGCTTGGCCTTCCACAGAACCCTTCTGTTGTGGGTTTGCTGAGGGCTGAAGAACAGCAGGTGCCAATGGCTACCATGGTGGTGCACCTGAGGCAGCGTCACACTTACAGAGACTCCCTGATTGCCATCCATGAGCTGGTTCATTGACTGGAGAGCCAAGGTGTAGATGTAGAGCTTGGGAGTGTGGCTTAGTGATGGACTTGTCAGCACTAAGGTAAAGTTGCCTGACCTGGGTTACACGTCCCAGAGTAGTGTCAGGCATAATGCAATTCTTTTTGCCTTGTGCATCTATAGCACAGGAAGTAGGACTTTGCCCTGCTTTATTGACTGGGCAGCTCTTTTCACATTACTCAGTTTAGGTTTGTGTGGCTGGAGGGGGACAATTTCCCAAAAGAGGCCAAGCTCATGGGTAGAGCTACAGCCACAGGAAGATTTTTTTTTTTTTCACTTCTTACCTTGAGTATTCCACAGAGGACCCAAGAGACACTCTGGATGTCCAGTTGTCTACTAAGATTCATTTAGAATTTCTCAGGATCCAACTGTCATTTCAAATTTATTTTATTTTATTTTATTTTATTTTATTTTATTTTATTTTATTTTATTTTATTTTATTCTATTTTTTATTTGTTCCCTTATTATCTTAAAAATGTTTCCATATGATGAACTGTGCTACAGTTACAGGGACAAAGACCACTGCTGGCAGTGGAGGTGTCAGACCTTCAAACTCTGTTTTTCTTCCCAATGAAGGTCTCCAAATAAGTCCCCCTGGATCAATAGCAATAGGACAATGATGCTCAAAACTGAAATGCAGCAAAATTCAGCCTTTAAAATAAAAAAATATTTGTATTAGCTGTTGTTTTTGAAATCTTCTTCCTTAACTACTTCATGCAAGCTCTGCCATTAGCTGTACAAGTCTTGAAGTCATGAAGAAAACTATGGAAGAGATGTCAGGAGTTTCTGCATTGTAATGAGTACCATGGTGTATTTTGGTCTGATGCTATGACACTCAGGTACTGAGAGGAGAATAATGCAACTGCTAGAGAAAGTGAAGTCAGGAGGAAAAGTTGAAGTGACTTGGAGTATTAATGGGCCCCACTGAGGGCTGTTACTAATGAAGCCTCCCCAGGGCCTTGTTAGGGCGGATAATTGGAGGCCATGGTTACAGACAGGCAAAGGCACTGTGCTGAAAAAAGTCTTGTATTCTTCTAACGAAGCAGAAGAGCCAAGGCCTCTTCCCTGGAAGTGGGAGGGGAGATCCTGCACCCCCACGTCTGTGTCAGGGCTCTTCCTGGGGTCTGTGGGATGGGGTGGGCAGTAGGATGCCATGAGAAGAAGAGTGGTATGACACCTCTGAGGTGCTGTACAACATTGAAATGAATCAATGAGGCCCCATCACAATGAGTATAACATATCTCCTCCTAAGCTCTAGCCAAAGGGGAAGCTATGGCTGTTGTCTCTGTTCCTCAGGCCTATGAGGACACAGCTTCTCATTAAAGCACCAGGGCCTCATTGCCTCCTTGCCGCCACCCACGAAGCACGCAGGGCTCATACCATTCTCCTTACTTGGCCATGCACATCCCCATCTCCTAATGCCCCACAAAGAGCCCTGAGCAAGGTGTTACTGCTAAGGATCTCCCTTCCCAGGGGAAAGGGGTCAAGGCCTGGCCCTTGTGCTTGCTGACACACATTCAGTTTGTCTACACCTCAGTGTCACCTTCACATTGCCTTTGTCTCCTTGTCCTCACTGCCTCCAGGGTTCTGCTCTAACGAGCTCCAAGGGAGGCTGTGTCAGTGCTGGCCCTCAGGGGGACACTGCAGGAAACTTGCCTCTGACTTACACTTCTGGCAAAATGTCTTCAATTGTCTCTGAGTGCCTGAGGTTTGTGGGCTCATCAGCAAAGGCCCCAGAGGAGTGATTGCAGTGCCTTGGTCTGGTGCTGTGCTGCTGAGCTGGGCCAGGCTTGTGGGACAGAGAGAGCTCGTGGCAAGAGGGCCCTGGTACAGAGAGACAGCTGTGTCCAGGAGCAGCTTCTCTGCACAGCGCAGCAGGGCTGGAGGCTCTGACCGCAGATGACACGGGGAGAGGAGAGAATGAGAGAGGGCTTGGAGGCACTTGGCAGTGGGAGGATGCTGAGAGCTGCCTGCAGGAGAAACATGCACAGCCCTTGACAAGGTAAGGGTCTGGCTTCAGGGCCATGCAGCTGCAGTTCCTGGAAGGGTCTCCTGATGGGTCTTGTTTCTGGGAGGGCAGTGGGCAATGCAGTAGGCTTTGAGAGTCCTGCTGGGTTGCAGTGTGAGGTGAGGAAGTCTGGCAGAAACCTCATGTATTGCCATAGGTCAGGTCTCCCTGGTCTGCCCAGAACACCCTGCTCGAGCAGGCCATGTCAGGCTCTCTGTCAGATGCCTCATAGTTCTTGCAGCCATGGAAAAGAAGACAAGCTCCCAAGCTCCATCTGGCTTTCTGTGGCGCTCCTCCCTCAGAAGCCTTCTCCAGTGTCTTCTCCAGTTTTTCAGGGAAACAGTCTAACGGGATGGTCCTGCAACTCATATAGGGGTGACACAGGGCAGCTAAGAACAGGACTGCTTGGCAGAGCTGCTCTGCTTGATCTTCACCAAGGGACACTCCCACAGGATATCAAGAGGAATGCACAGGAAATTTGAGGACATTCAGCAACCCAATACCTATCCTAAGCTTTGCCGGGCCTACAGGGATAGAATAAAGCAAACAAAATACCTACAGCTCAGCTCTGCACTCAGATGAGATGTTTGCAACAACTAACAAGTAGAAGACACTTGAGGTTCCCTCATGTTCCTGCTTTCCTCCTGCTGCACAGGAGGAAGGAACGCTAGGGAGCCCACAGCTACCCATTCTTCCAGTGCCACTCTCAGCTAGCACCAGCTACAGCTCAAGCATGACAGCTGCAGAAAATGTCTTCACATACTGAGGCTTGGTCTGGGGTGTACTCTAAGGCTTGCAGTAGTTCTTCCTCAAAAAAATCTTTTCTAAAACTTTCTACCATTTTCTCTCAAATAGGCAGCCATGTTCAATGTCAGAAAATGCCCAACATCAGCTCTGTGAGCGAGTTCCTCCTGCTGGCATTCGCAGACACACGCGAGCTGCAGCTCCTGCACTTTGCGCTCTTCCTGGGCATCTACCTGGCTGCCTTCCTGGGCAACAGCCTCATCATCACCACCGTAGCCTGTGACCACAACCTCCACACCCCCATGTACTTCTTCCTCCTCAACCTTGCCCTCCTCGACCTGGGCTGCATCTCCACCACTCTGCCCAAAGCCATGGCCAATGCCCTCTGGGACACCAGGGCCATCTCCTATCAAGGTTGTGCTGCTCAAGTTCTCTTTTTTGTCTTCTTCTTTGGTTCAGAGTATTCAATTCTAACCATCATGGCCTACGACCGCTACGTTGCCATCTGCAAGCCCCTGCACTACGGGAGCCTCCTGGGCAGCAGAGCTTGTGCCCAGATGGCAGCAGCTGCCTGGGGCAGTGGTTTTCTCAATGCTGTCCTGCACACAGCCACTACATTTTCCCTGCCCCTCTGCCAAGGCAACTCTGTAGACCAATTCTTTTGTCAAATTCCGCAAATCGTGAAGCTGTCCTGCTCAGATGCCTACCTCCAGGAAGTTGAGCTACTTGCGTTCAGTTTTTCTTTTGTATTTGGTTGTTTTGTTTTCATTGTGGTGTCCTATGTGCAGATCTTCAGGGCAGTGCAGAGGATACCCTCTGAGCAGGGCCGACACAAAGCCTTTTCCACGTGCCTCCCTCACTTGGCCGTGGTCTCTCTGTTTGTCAGTACAGACATGTTTGCCTACCTGAAGCCCCCCTCCCTCTCTTCCCCATCCCTGGACCTTGTGGTGGCAGTTCTGTACTCAGTGTTGCCTCCAGCAGTGAATCCCCTCATCTACAGCATGAGGAACCAGGATCTCAAGGATGCCTTGAGGAGACTGATGACTAGAGATGTTTCAAAATCAAAAAATAGCCCCTTTTCTTCTGCATATGACCCAGAATGCATTGCACAGATACACACATAGAGAGATGAACACGAGCGAGCACAAATGCCATCAGCCATTCCTATAAGTCTCATGAAGGCCAGTGGGGCAGACAGTGCCACGAGGTTAATTAACATGTCTTGGGAAGTCACCTTTATCCAGCTCTGAGATGTGCTTGCTTGAAGCAAGGTCCCTGTGACCATTCCTCATGCCTTGGGGCACCTCAGAGGAGGGCAGAGCAGGGCAAAACACTGCAGGGCTGAGCTGCCTCCCAGCCTCTGGCAGTGGCTGCAGGAGCCAGAGGGACACTGCAGGCACTGCAGTGCACTGTGCGTGGTGTGCAAGGCAGAGACTCGTGTCTCTCAACAGCCCTGTGTGTATGAGGAGCGTGGGAGGCCAGCTCAGATGTGGACACCTCACAGAGCACTGCCGTTGCCCTGTGTGACTCCAGAACCAATCCCCAGTGTCTCTGTGAGATTTCTGTAACCCCCCTCTCACAGGCTCATTGCAGATGCCCCTCTCTGCTATGTCATACTACCCTGCCTTTCTGGACTAGGCCATCAAGCGTTTGGAACAGAGAGATTTCTGGGCACTTGGAAAAAGCAGACAGCAAACTTGTCGTCAGGAAGCACAAGAAAAAGGACTGGGAGATTTGCAGTTGTCACCTCTGCCAATGGGTGCGTGATGGGGAAAATCCACAGGTGAAGCAGTAGGGGAGGGGAGAGAAGGGAATGTGGTGAACCTGGATTTGGCAAGGCCTTTGCCATAGTCTCCTGGAGTCTCCCTTTAGCCACATTGCTGATATTCACACTGAAGAAGGGGATGAAGTTGGGGGGGGAGAAGTTGGCTGGACATTAGTGATACCAAGTCCTCCTGGCAGCCAGTTACCAGCAGCACCCTTCAGTCATGGGCACTTGGGCCAACACTGTTGACCCTCTTTTTTATCTCCTTTTATGATGGCATGGAGCACATTTCCTAGTCTTGATCTCTTCAATGTGAGTTATTCTTTAATTCAGTTGCTTCTTCCCTTGGAGTTCTGCTTGAAGACCAGGAGGTGGAGGAAGAAGGAGAAAAAAAAAAAAAAGTTGGGAAATATATTTTGGTAAATGTTTGCATAAGACTATTCCCAGAAAAAGCATACTTTGGTAGATAATCCTTGTCCACAGTGCTGTCAATAGTAAATAAATAAATAAATAAAATAAGAATAATAATAATAAAAAACCTATGAGACTAAATCAAGAGAATTCATAGAAAAAAAGCTGGTGGTGCTGCCATAAAAGACTCTTTCAGCTGTGACTTAGAGTCCTTTTATGTACAGGTTCCCTTTTTTTCCTAGGTCTACTTTCATGGATGGTTTCCATTCTCTATTCAGAGGTGGCCACTGCCTCCAGGATGCCCTGGGGTAGCCAAGGAATGCAGGTGGGACAAGTGACGTGAGGGAGCACTTTTGGAGCACAAGCTGAGGGGCATGAACTGAGGCCAGGCCCTACAGGGGCTGTACAGGGCTGCTAAGCACAGAATCATAGAACTGCTCATGTTGGAAGGGACCTTAAAGATCCTGTGGTTCCATAACGTTCACAAACACCCAGATCTCAAGCCTGTGCCACTCTGGTGCTGGCCTAGGCCTTTTACTTCAGACGCAGGCCTTTTCCTGCAGCATATACCACGTTGGTCATGGCACAAAAATGCTGTTTCTACACCAGCGATCTGGAGTCTCCTTCATGTTAGGCCACATTTCAGTGTCCTTCGTGCTGCTTGCAGGGTTTTGTCTCATGGATGAACTGGATCCCAGAATCCCAGAATCATCTAGGCTGGAAGAGACCTCCAAGATCACCTAGTCCAACCTCTGACCTACCACTAACAAGTCCTCCACTAAACCATATCACAAAGGATCACTGAGTATTCTGAAACTCAATATCATGCTTTTATTATTGTCATTGTTATTGTTATTGTTATTACTGTTATTACTGTTATTATTAATTTGCCTCTGAAGCACAATCACAGAATCAGAGAATCATACAACAGTTGAGTTGGAAAACACCTCGACGATCATCTAGTTCCAACCCCCCTGCCATAGGCAGGGACACCACCCCCTAGATCAGGTTCCTCAGGGCCTCATCTAACGTGGCCTTGAACACCCCCAAGGATGGAACATCCACAGCCTCAGCCACAGGATTCCACTCCCTGAAAGGCAAGATATCAAGCCCCATAGACTTGTACTTGTTGAGTTCCATCAGGTTGTCTCAAACGTTCTCTTCACTTACAAAAGGTGGGAATTTATTCCCCCAGCCTCTATCTATGGGTTCAGAGAATGAAAGACTTGGGAAGCCTGACTGGCAGGGAAGACTGAGGCAAAGATGTTGTTGAGTCCCTCAGCCTTCTCCATGTCTGTCATTACCAGTCCACCCTTCTCATCCATCAGAGGGGGTACAATCTCCTTGGCCTTTCTTTTCTGAGAAAGGTACCTACAGAATCTCTTCCTGTTATTCTTTTCATCCCCTGCTAAGCTCAGTTCCATCCGTTCCTTGGTTTTCCTTATCATATCCCTCCACATCTGAAACTGAAACATGTGAGAGGACCTGGGAGAAGTAGACTGGGATCCACAGAAGCCACTTGGGAAACAAAACTTGTAGGTAGGAAGTGTGATTTTGTGGAGGTGCAGAGCTGATGGGTACATTGTGCAGGATGCTCCTAAAGACCTTTGTGTCCTTTTCCCTCCTGACTACAATGCTACTTCCTTCTCAGGAATGGAGGAGCCAACAGAGGTGAGACAGATGCACTGAGATGTTAAATGTCATCAGAAATCTGATCCCAACAAGATATGGGGAGGTCAGGAGCAGCAGTGAGATTATGGGGTGGAAAGAGGAGCATGGCCAGCAGAAATTAATGATTTCATAGAGGTAAGAGCATTCATGCAATGCCGGTAGTGCAGTAACACTGACTTAAAACAGTCACATATGGCCCTTACCTTACTGGGAACAGTACTTTTATTCCCCAAACCTAAATACTCTGAAAGGAAGCAATTTTCTCTCTTGATTACTCTAATCCCTTCCCTTAACACTAACATTAAAATGCTCTATTTAACCCTAGACTCCCTGGCAGACGTAAAACATCCCTAAACCACAGAGCTTGTCCATACCTTAACCACAGACCTGACACCACAAGCAGAACACCAAACACTCCCACTAAAACTTTGTTTAATCTCTAACCCAGAAAGTAAAAAAGAGATACCAAGGGGACTAGAGAAAGCTCAGTTCTGCCTCAGGATCTCCTGCCACAGCAGCAGGAATGTGACCGTGGCAGTGACTGTGAGGTCACTTCTGTCTCTGCACTTGATAGGACAACAACAGGATCATGTCACGCAAAGGGACTGTGAGGTCACTTGTGTCTAGAGGTGGCAGGTCACCCTTGCCTTCTCCCTGGGAGCTGTACTTTTGGGCTGACATCTGGCAGTGGCCCTGCTAGGCCAGCAGAAGGCACCTGCTTGGCATGCTGACTGGGGGATCCCCTCTGCCTCCAGAGCCAGGAGGACCCAGGCAGAAAGAAGGCCCCCACATTGGTTGTCCTGTCCCTTCTGCTTGAGTCGATGAGTGGGCAGAAGCAGGCACAAGGCTTGGCTGTGTCTAGCCAAGAAGCTGCAAGGATAGCACCAGGCCCCTGGCTTGAAAGGTGCTGGTGAGTGTCTATGATCAGACCCTAGCTTCGTTTTTCAAGGAACAGCTGGTGAGGGTTGATGAGACGTTGGTGAAATGATGGAAATGCTGGGATGAGAGCAAGGTGGTAAACAGATTTGGGTGTCTGCAGACTTCCAGGAAATAGGACAAAGTGTGGGACAGCATATAAAAGCGTGTAGAGGAGAAAGCAGAGAGTGCCGTCAAGAAAGGAAGGCCCCAACAGTCCTGATGCTTTGGCTAGAGCTTATGAGAAGACGACATATAGTCATTGCAGTGCAGCCTCTTTGCTTCCTTGCAACCCTGTGCAGAGACAGGGAGGTGTCATACCAATGTTCATCTCATGGTATCACACAGCCCACCACATTCCTCAGACCTCCAGGAAAAGACCTGAGCCTGACAGGGGTGTGCAGGATCTCCCCTCACAGTGGCTGGGGTCAGGCCTTGGCTCTTCTGCTTCACTAAAACCAAGAAAGACCTTTCTCATCACAGTGCATTTGCCTGTCTGTAGCCATGGCCTCCAATTATCTGTCCTAATAAGTCTCTGGGGAGGCTTTGTTAGTAACAGCCCTCAGTGGGACCATTAATACTCCAAGTCACTTCAACTTTTCCTTCTGACTTTGCTTTTTCACAGAGTTCCATCATTCTCCTCTCAGTACCCAAGTTTCATTGACTCGGCACCAAAATACTCCATGGAACTCATTAAAACACAAAAACTCCTAAGGAGCCATATCTCTCCCACGACTTTCTTCAAGTATTCAAGACTTGTTCAGCTAATTGGAGAGATTTCATTTTCTAGTTAAGGGGGAAGATTTCAAAGAGCATCTAATAAAAATCTTTCCTCGTTGCAAAGACTGTTTCAGTTTAGAGCATCATTCTCCTGTAGGTATTGGTCTAGGGTTTCTCCTTTGAAGCCCTGCTTAGGTGGGAAGAACAAGGGTTTTCCTATTTCAAAACAAACAACAGGAAATCATGCTGCAATTTTCAAAAAATAAAAATAAAATAAAATAATAATAATAATAAAAAAAAAAAAACAAATTTCAAGTTCCTAATTTTGTTGCCTCCAGTGATGTTTACTTTCCCAAAAGGATGACTGCACATGATGTATTTTACAGTGATTAATAGGAAATTTCAGATAATTGTGTTAATATTAATCCATATCATAATAATTCAATTATAATTGATGAGTGTCTTACTAAGGAAACCATTAGACAGACTGCTGAGAGATGGACGAGCTTGAACTCACTGAAACTCCAAGCAGCAACTGGGTTGGTGAGAGTGGTCTGAATCATTAAAGAGTAAGGGGAGGGCAAACCAGGAAAATGATGGGAAGTGCATAGGTCCAGACAGACAGCTGGGAAAGGGGACATTCAGCTGTGTGACCACAAGCAACCAGGGAAAACCTCCAGTGGCCTCGTTGTGTTTCAGGCACTTCCCTGGACTGGCAGATGTCATTAAAGACCTGCAGGAGGCCGGAGCCCTTTGGGAAAACCAGGTGAAGCCAGGTGGAGTTCCCAGGGCACCTCCACTGCCAGCAGTGGTCTTTGTCCCTGTAACTGCAGCCCAGTGCAGCACAGGAAACCCCTTCAAAAACAAACCTCTTCTTCAGTGGTGTCCTGGTACTGACCTAGATTTGAAATGGCCACTGGAAACCTGAGATACTCTCCCTTATTCCTAATAGACTTGTAAACATCCATTAATCTTCCTGGGTCATCTTTAGCAAACTCAGGCTGATAAATTCAAGTTTAGCATGCTTCAAATGGCTGAGGCAGAACCAATCAGCTTGCCCCACTTTGGAAATGGCACCCGTCCAACTAAGGATCTGAAAGCAACAAATACGGAATGACCCGTGAGGACAATGTACAGAGTAAGGGAAAATCACACATATTGTGCCTGAGTAGCAGAAGGCAAAAAGCATTGCATTGTGCCTCAGAATAATCAAGGAGACCTAATGCAGTTCATCCATGAGGATGTGCCATCATTTGTGCCATCATCAACATGAATTACACAAGCACCAGCACACCTAATGGTAACCTGTCCGCCCCGGCTTGGTATTCCCACAGGGCAGGGGAAAGGGAGCCGACAGCCAAGGGACACATTTGGGTGTGGAAGGTGGGGCCCAGAAGAACCAAGGAGTCAAACCCAGGGCCAGGCGGGTGGCAGAGCCCCATGCCCCATGCAGGGGCTGGCTGGGGGTCCCCTCTGCTGCAGCCAGCGCACGCAGCATGGCAAGAGGAGGGCTCCCTGCACATCACAGGGCACAGCCTGGCCCCGCAGGGGCTCTTCCTGACATCCCTGCAACTCCTGGCAGGCTGCGGTGAGGTGCCCCTCAGCCTTCCCTCCTGTGCTCCCATGGCACATGGCTGCCTCCTGCCCAGCTCACTGCCCACCATGAACGTCCAACACAGCTGCTTCCCAGGTTGGGCCTTGCCCAGGGTCAGTCTCCTGCAGGGGCAGAAAATGGCCCTTGTCCTGGTGGCTTTTCATGGCCTTCCTATCAATACATGCTCTTCTCATCCTTGAACTCTTTTTACTGAATACAGAGGCCTCGGTGACCATTTTGGTTCTGACTAATACCAAGAAAACATGTCTACTTCATCTCTGTCTGCTGCTATGAGCTGTCTGTGAGACATGGATTTGCTATCAGATCTTTTCCTCTGACAGTCTCATCAATGCCCAGTGATTGGACAAGACATGGGAACTGCACACAGGAAAACACTTTTACTGTGAGCAATATCAAGAACTGGATCATGTTTCCAATACCAAGCACTTGATCAGGTTTCCCCAAAATGGGGAGTCCTCCTCAACTGGAGATACCCCAAACCCAACTGGAAATGGGGCAGGGCTGCCTGGTGTAGGTGTCCATGCGTGTCTAGTGGTGGTGGCTAGATGGGCTTTGGAGGTCCCCTCCAATGGTTGCAGGGAGGGAGTGCCTGCCAGGGCAGAAAGGGCAGCCCCAAAGGAGGACACCAGGGCTTTCCACCACGTTGTAGCAGGGATCTTCATCCCACAACCACCGCTGTACCTGAGAAGAATTTATGAGAAATGAGATCCACAGAAACTGCCTACCTGCTGGTTCCTTTATTTAGTTAGCTACAAAGAGCTTAACAGCACCTCTACATGAGGACTTTGGTAAAGAAGAAAAGGTAGAAGGAGATAGAGGAAGAAAAATATCTTAAATTTATAAAATGAAATTATAAGATTATTAAAAATATTGGTATGATATCAAAAAGGATGAGCAATTATGAAATATATGAACAAAGGTGTTTCTGCCTTCTCCAGGTATACTTCAGGGAATCAGATGCAGAAGACAGGTTCCTCATTGAAATACTGAATATTGCAATAACATCCTCAGTGCCTCCTTGAGCTCCTTATTTCTCATGCTGTAGATGAGGGGGTTCAGTGCTGGAGGCACCACTGAGTACAGAAATGACACCACCAGGTCCAGGGATGGAGAGGAGATGGAGGGGGGCTTCAGGTAGGCAACCAAGACAGCGTTGACAAAGAGGGAGACCACAGCCAGGTGAGGGAGGCACGTGGAAAAGGCTTTGTGCCGGCCCTGCTCAGAGGGCATCCTCAGCACTGCCCTGAAGATCTGCACATAGGACACCACAATGAAAACAAAACAACCAAATGTTAAAGAAACACTAAACACAAGTGCCCCAACTTCCCTGAGGTAGGCATCTGAGAAGGAGAGCTTGAGGATGTGGGGGATTTCACAGAAGAACTGGTCCACAGCATTGCCTTGGCAGAGGGGCAGGGAAAATGTAGTGGCCGTGTGCAGGACAGCATTGAGAAAGCCACTGCCCCAGGCAGCTGCTGCCATGTGGGCACAAGCTCTGCTGCCCAGGAGGCTCCCGTAGTGCAGGGGCTTGCAGATGGCAATGTAGCGGTCATACGACATGATGGTGAGAAGGAAATACTCCGATGACATCAACAAGACAAAGAGAAATACCTGTGCAGCACATCCTTGATAAGAGATGGCCCTGGTGTCCCAGAGGGCATTGGCCATGGCTTTGGGCAGAGTGGTGGAGATGCAGCCCAGGTCGAGGAGGGCGAGGTTGAGGAGGAAGAAGTACACGGGGGTGTGGAGGCGGTGGTGGCAGGCTACGGTGCTGAGGATGAGGCCCTTGCCCAGGAGGGCAGCCAGGTAGATGTCCAGGAAGAGCGTGAAGTGCAGGAGCTGCAGCTCGCGCGTGTCTGCGAATGCCAGCAGGAGGAACTCGCTCACAGAGCTGATGTTGGGCATTTGCTGGTTCTGGCCATAGGGTTCTCTCAAGGAGGGAAAAGGCAGTAAGAAAATACAACAAAACTATCTGATGATATTTGATTTAGTTTCTGCCTATTACGTAGACATTAGGCAGGTCCATTTCAGGAGCTCTGTCTGTTGCTTTCCAAGGGTTTCCCTGGAAGCAGGGGACTCTGCTTTGGGCAGTGTAGTTAACAGTTCTTACCTATAGAAAGAAGTAAAGAGGAATCATAGAATCAAAGAATCATAGAATATCCTGAGTTGGAAGGGACCCTTAAGGATCATCAAGTCCAACTCTTGACACCGCACAGGTCTACCCAAAAGGTCAGACCATGTGACTAAGCGCACAGTCCAATCTCTTCTTAAATTCAGACAGGCTCGGTGCAGTGACCACTTCCCTGGGGAGCCTGTTCCAGTGTGCAACCACCCTCTCTGTGAAGAACCCCCTCCTGATGTCAAGCCTAAATTTCCCCTGCCTCAGCTTAACCCCATTCCCGCGGGTCCTGTCGCTGGTGTTAATGGAGAAAAGGTCTCCTGCCTCTCGACACCCCGTTACGAGGAAGTTGTAGACTGCGATGAGGTCTCCCCTCAGCCTCCTCTTCTCCAGGCTGAACAGGCCCAGTGCCCTCAGCCGTTCCTCGTACGTCTTCCCCTCCAGGCCTTTCACCATCTTCGTAGCCCTCCTCTGGACACTCTCCAACAGTTTCATGTCCTTTTTATACTGTGGTGCCCAGAACTGCACACAGTACTCGAGGTGAGGCCGCACCAGCGCAGAGTAGAGAGGGACAATCACCTCCCTTGACCTACTAGCGATGCCGTGCTTGATGCACCCCAGGACACGGTTGGCCCTCCTGGCTGCCAGGGCACACTGCTGGCTCATATTCAACTTGCTGTCTACCACCACCCCCAGATCCCTCTCTTCTAGGCTGCTCTCCAGCGTCTCATCGCCCAGTCTGTACATGCAGCCAGGGTTTCCCCGTCCCAGGTGCAGGACCCGGCACTTGCTCTTATTGAACTTCATGCGGTTGGTGATCACCCAGCTCTCCAACCTATCCAGATCCCTCTGCAAGGCCTTTCCACCCTCATCCAAGTCCACAACTCCTCCAAGTTTGGTGTCATCAGCAAACTTGCTCAAAATACCTTCTATTCCTACATCCAGATAATTTATAAAAATATTGAAAAGTACCGGCCCTAAAATGGAACATTGCATATTCTCAGATTAATTCTTATGAACAAATTGTTGCTCCCAAATCACCTAATGGCAGAGAAGTGCTGTGGCGATTTCTTTTTTCTATACTGTCATTCCTGCTGCTTTACATTAAAAACCTTGTGGATCCTCAGAATCACAGATTCCTCTACTACAGAGTGTACTTCAGAGAGTACAGCCAGTCTGTCCCTCACGTCTGGTCTCTCTGTGCTGGTCTCTCTGTGTCTCTGTGTCTGGTCTTTCTGTGCTGCCCTGTGCTGGTGGGAGAAAAGAGCATCGATTTTCCCAGAGAGGTGCCTGATCCCCTCTCACACAGCATTTCTGGAAGCAGCTCTCTCTCACCGCCTGCCCATGGCCCTGCTGGGAACTGGTTCTCTGTCCCCACATCTCCTCCATGTCCACGCTAACAGACCTCATCCCACAAGCTCTGTGCTCAGACTCACTCAGATTCCACTCCACTGCAAGAATCTTAAAGCAGAGAATCCAAAAAATCCTTTCTCTTCAGACTATACCAAGCCTCAGTCTTCCTCCTGAAATGCCCATTCATAAATGCCATTCTCTAAAGTATCTCCTAGTCCAAATTAGAGGTAGAGTGAGACCCATTCCAACAGATGCTATCAGCCATTGGATGTGCCAGCTGTACAAGACCCCTCTGGCAACCCCACCTGCATGGCCCTGCTGCCAGAGCCTCACAGTGCCAAGAGCCTGCAGATGTGTCCTGCCACACGCTGCCCTCTGTTGTTGTGCTCCTCAGTGCCTCCAAGCCCTCTCTCCTTCTCTCCTCTCTGCGTGCCAGCTGCGGTCAGAGCCCCCAGCCCTGCTGTGCTGTGCAGAGGAGCTGTTCCTGGGCACAACTGTCTACTCTTCTGCCTGCTTGCAGACATGAACATCTGACAGAATGGAGCATCAGTGTGAAGGAATCTTTAGGAATTGCAGGATTTTGCCTAAAGGAACCACTTGACACTTTCAAGGAGAAAAACCCAGAAGTGCACCAGAAGAAGAGGAAACCCACGTATCAGGGAAGACTGGGACCCTGCTGAGTGAACAGTGCCCAGGAGGACGAGGGCCTGGGCGCCACAGGGGTTTCTATATGAGCAGTGGTGCCTGCTCACCAGGAACCAGGCCAGCTTCCTTAAGAACTGCCTTACAAGGAGCAGGACCTCCCAGAAGATCTGAGTTATCAGATTCAGCTCAGATCCCATGTGACACTACACACAGAAAGGGTCTGCATCCGGTAGTGAAAGATTTGGAAGTCTGGGAGTCCCTCAGACAGCCTGGTGAGGAGAGGAGCAATGGCTGTGGAAAGGCTCAAAGTCCCAACAGGACCAATGTCTTTGCATCCACGGCTATGGCTTCTGTCTCTGCCACTGAGGCCTATGAGGAGACAGCTTATTGCTAAAGCACCAGGGCCTCATTGCCTCCTCACCCCCACCAATGAACCACGCAGGGGTTGTACCATTCTCCTGCACTTGGCAATGCACATCCCCATCTCCCACTGCCCCACAAAGAGCCCTGAGCAAGGTGTCAAAGGGAAGGATCTCCTTTCCCAGGGGCTGGGATCAAGGTCTGGCCCTTGTGCTTGGTGACACACATCCATTTTTCCTACACATCAGTGTCACCTTCACATTGCCTTTGTCTCCGTGTCCTCACTGCCTCCAGGGTTGTGCTCTAATGAGCTCCAAGGGAGGCTGTGTCAATGCTGGCCCTCAGGGGGACACTGCAGGAAACTTGCCTCTGACTTGGCCTTCTGGAGAGATGTCTTCCATTGTCTCTGAGTGCCTGAGGTTCGTGGGCTCATCAGCCAAGCCCCCAGAGGGGTGATTGCAGTGCCTTGGGCTGGTGCTGTGCTGCTGAGCTGGGCTGGGCTTGTGGGACAGAGAGAGCTCGTGGCAAAAGGGCCCTGGTGCAGAGAGACAGCTGTGCCCAGGAGCAGCTCCTCTGCACAGCGCAACAGGGCTGGGGGCACTGCCTGCAGCTGGCACACAGAGAGGAGAGAAGGAGAGAGGGCAACAACAGAGGGCAGCGTGTTGCAGGACACATCTGCAGGCTCTTGACACCGTGAGGCTCTGGCAGCAGGGCCATGCAGGTGGGGTTGCCAGAGCTTCTACAGCTGGCACATTTGATGGCTGATAGCATCTGTGAGGATGGGTTTTATTCTACCTGTAATGTGGCATAGAAGATGTTTTAGAGGGGGCATTTTAAGAGGAAGACCGAGACTTGGTTTATTTGAAATGGAAAACTTGGTTGGATTCTGTGCTTTCAGCGTCTTGGTATGGAGGAGAGGCAGGGTTCATGACAATGAATTTTCTCGATTGTAGAGGATATGGAGACTCCAAGATTATTCCAGTGAGAGATCAATATAGCAGCAATTAAACTTCAGGCAGCTCAGCCTAAAGACTGAAACAATAATGTTTGTTGTCTCCTCAGGACTTATCAGGTCTTTAGGAGCTGCAACCCCCGTGTTGCCCTGTACTCAGGAAGCACACAGCTTGTGGGATGGGGTCTGTGAGCAAGGACATGGAAGATAGGTGGGGACAGAGATCCTGCTTCCAGCAGGGACATAGGAAGGCAGTAGAGATATGAGCAGGGCAGGTGGTGAGAGGGAGCTGCTGCAAGAAATGCTGTGCGAGGGAGGGCTCAGGCACCTCGCTGCCAGACCCTGCAGGGCAGGCGCCTTCCCTGGGACACCCCCTGCTCTCCTCTCCCACCAGCACAGCCTCTGCCCTCAAGCCCTCTCTGTCTCCAGCAGGATCTGCCTCCTCTGCAGGCAGAGCTGCAGCACAGGAGGGTCTGCTGAGTGTCCGTCTGTCCCTCCCTGGCCTTGCATCCCCTGGCAGCAGCACGCTGGCATTCAATATGCTTGGGGAAAGGGGAGTATGGGGCCAGGGTGAGGGGTCTGGAGATGTGCACTTAGAGCCTGGATTCCTCTGCTCTCAGAAGTGTCCAGGTTCTTCTCAGGAGAACCTCCTAAGTGCAACTGCCCTGCAGCTCAAAGACACGCCAGCAGAGAACAAGTGAAGGAACAACCAATGAAGGAAAGGGATCTGCCAATTGTCTACATGCTTTGAGAGGTTTAACTGAAAAATGAAATGTTTTTTCTCAGATAATCCTGATATATTATCACTCTACTTCTGTTCCTTTAGCAGGACAACACATACAAAACAAGCAAATGCCCAACAGCAGCTCAGTGGGTGAGTTCCTCCTGCTGGCATTCGCAGAAACGCGCGAGCTGCAGCTCCTGCACTTCGCGCTCTTCCTGGGCATCTACCTGGCTGCCCTCCTGGGCAACGGCCTCATCCTCAGCGCCGTAGCCTGCGACCACCACCTCCACACCCCCATGTACTTCTTCCTCCTCAACCTCGCCCTCCTCGACCTGGGCTGCATCTCCACCACTCTGCCCAAAGCCATGGCCAATGCCCTCTGGGACACCAGGGCCATCTCTTATCAAGGCTGTGCTGCACAGGTCTTCTTTTTCTTCTTCTTGGTTGGAGCAGAGTATTCCCTTCTCACCATAATGTCCTACGACCGCTACGTTGCCATCTGCAAGCCCCTGCACTACGGGAGCCTCCTGGACAGCAGAGCTTGTGCCCAGATGGCAGCAGCTGCCTGGGGCACTGGATTTCTCACTGCTGTCCTGCACACGGCCAACACATTTTCCCTTCCCCTCTGCCACGGCAATGCTGTGGACCAGTTCTTCTGTGAGATCCCCCACATCCTCAAGCTCTCCTGCTCAGATGCCTACCTCAGGGAAGTCAGGGCACTTGTCTTTAGTATTTCTTTAGCCTTTGGTTGTTTTGTTTTCATTGTGGTGTCCTATGTGCAGGTCTTCAGGGCAGTGCTGAGGATGCCCTCTGAGCAGGGCCGACACAAAGCCTTCTCCACGTGCCTCCCTCACCTGACCGTGGTCTCCCTGTTTGTCAGCACTGGCGTATTTGCCTACCTGAAGCCCCCCTCCAGCTCTTCCCCATCCCTGGACCTGGTGGTGGCTGCTCTATACTCACTGTTGCCTCCAGCAGTGAATCCCCTCATTTACAGCATGAGGAACCAGCAGCTCAAACATGCAGTAAGGAAAATTTTTTATACCTCTTTCTTCAGCATTAATAATGTGCATATAATACTAATAGGATTTCTGCAAACAAACACTCTTAGCTCAATTTCTTGAAAGTAATTTTCTTTATTATTATTTCCTATAACTTCTGGCTTTGATTTAATGTTATTCTAAGCCTCCTAATTATTTTTATTTTATTATTATTATTATTAAGTCGATAATTTCAAATACGTTTACAATCAATATTCTTGTTTAAATAAAGACAATAAAGAAACCGGGACAACTTCATTAGTCTCTACTGAAGTCTCTTCCCATCTCCAGTGCCTCCAGCAGTGAACCCACTCATCTAAAACATGAGGAACCTGGAACTAAGGGATGCAGTGAGGACACTGCTTGAGTACATATTCTTCAGCTTCTTTGTCTATAACAATAAGCTTATAATCAGAAACACCTATTTTTCAAACAACTTTAAGATACATTTTTTCTCTTTATATTTGTCTGTGTTATTATTTTCATTAGCTATTGTGTCAGATATAAATAATATTAATCTTAGCCTCCTACTTGTTAAAGATTTACCTAGAGAACAAGGTTTCCTCTGTAGATAAACACAATAAAGGATCCAGAAGAAATTCATTGGTCTGAGCTGCCATCTCTTCCTATCTACTCTGGAGCTGGGGGAGCAGCCCCAGCACGCAGGAGGGGCTCAGGACCAAGAGCCCAGCTGCCACATGCAGGAGCAGCCCCAGTGGCCCTTGGGGCTGCCCCTCACTGCCCACTGGGATCTGCCTCTGTGCTGTCTTCGGTTCAGGGCTGCTGCTTCCCTGGAGCCATGGCCATGGCCAGCAGCAAGACATGGCCTTGTCACTGCTGCTCTCTTTTGGCTTCCACATTGTGCTTCTTTTTTTCTGCGTTAGCCCTGATATCTCATGTACCTTGGCGACAGTCCTGTTGTCTCTACAGTGACATCCCTGTAGCTGCAGGCAGCAGCAGGCACTGTGCAGCCCTGGGTCACAGCTGGCTTCCCTGCTAGCACCACAGTAACAGGAGGGTCTTGATCAGGGCAAACCCAGAAGCCTGAACGCATCTGCCAAATATGCTATCAGGAATGGAGCCAAGGGGTTGCTCCCTGCTCTTCTGTTTTCTGGGCTTCTTCATGGAGTGAAGGACACAGGATGAAAGTCCCAGGGTGGTTTGTGCGGAAACAAGGACAGGAGTAAGTACTCCCGTTGTGGCAGCACTTGCCTAAGGAGATGACAACTGGTCTTGGACTCATCTGCATGGGACTGTGCCCAGCAGTGGGGTTGATGACCAGTACCAGCCTGGAGAGGAATCTGGATCTTCCAGGAGATGTCAAGGGATCTCCAGGGACAGGGTGTTCAGTGGGTAGTGATTAGAACCTCATAAAATGACTGTGCAAGGTAGTGTCTGGTAACAAACAAAGTGAATCTGAGGAGTGCATGAGCAGCTCAGACTGCTCAGGAGGGTCAGCTGTCACTGCAGGTTCTCCTCCCAGTCTCTTGCCCACTTGCAGCCAACTGACTCCTGGGGCATAGTGAGAAGCAGAGAAGGCCTTGACGCTGTGCCAGCACTGCTCAGGAACAGCGATCAGAACCATGGGTGACCAACAGTGCTCTGGTCACATATCAGAAACACAGCACCACAGGGGGTGGTCTTCAGACAGTAACTTTGTCCAAGCCAGAACCAGTGCAGTGCCCCTGATGGACAAGAAGTCTCCCCCTAAGCTCGGGAAGGAGCCAGGAAGGTGCTAATAAGCACCAGGACAATTGAGGAAGCCCAAAAGCCCTTCTGAAGGGTCACTGAGTGCCACCTGAGAGGCAGTGCTGGGCAGTGGGGCCAGGAGAAAAACTTGTGAGAAGGATGTGAGAAACAAGGAAATGTCACTGCCATTGCCCCAGGGCTGCAACAGATCTCTTGCAAGACTCCTTTGATGGGGATTTGTGACCCCAGGGGACAGCAGTGAATGGAGCCCGCAGAGCGTGAGCCTGTCCAAGGTGGACTGAGCAGAGCTCAAGTGCTCACTCTGGTGTGAGCAGGCAGGGGAGAACTCAGCAGCCCCAGGGCACACAAAAGCCCCACCAAAGGAGCCTGGCGAGTGATTCCTTGCAGCTCTGGGGCAATGGCAGTGACCCCAGGAGCTGGGTCTGCCTCCCAGCCTGCCCAGCACGGCCCTGCAGAGTGCCCCTGTGCCCTGGGCACCACAGCCCCCTCGCTCTGCAGAGCAGCACCGCCAGCTGGGGTTCAGGCTGGGGCTGGGGCTTGGAGGGCTCTTCCCCTGAGTGTCATCTAGGCCAGCTTCAGGCTTCTGGATGTGAGCGTGATCTTCACTGTGCACAAGGAGCTGAGAGACCGACAACAGGCATAGGGCTGGAACATTGCCTGCAAGGTCCCTCCTGCCCTAGCACCTCCCAGGACTGGCACGGAACTGGCTCCTGAGTGTCAGAGAGGCTGGGAGCCCAGCAGGCTTGAAGGATGAAAACCAGCTCACTTCCACCTGGGCAGGTCCTGGGACAAAAAGGGGGTGTTTTGTAGGTCTGGTATTATGATGGCAGAGGTGCCTCAGAAGTTGTCAGCCCAGTAGGAAGCTAATGGCTGTTAAATAGCCTGTAAGTTGAGCTCTTTCTGAAGTAGCCAACAGCTCAACCCTTGACTCCTGGCTGGGATCTGTGCCTTTAGGCTCACATCTGCTGGTCTCCATGACAGGACAGCAGATGCACCTGTTCTGCACACAGTTTGTCAGATCCCCTCTTTCTAAGTACCTGCTAGGCCCCATAGAGTTGCAGGTCTTGTACAGGTGTCATATCAGAGGTATCAGCTTTTGCCTAAACTCATCCTTCAGGCCTGCTTTTGTGGTGTTGCAGAACTGCTGGGCACATTGTGCAGGGTGCTCCTACAGACGTTTCTCTCCTTCTCCATGCTGGTTCTCTAAACTTCGCCTAAGAAGATGATTGATATGGGGAAGTCAGGAGAAGCCTGGCCAACAGAGATGTGAGATTTGAGGGAGGGCAAAGGAGCGTGGACAGCAGAAGGTGATGATTTTGCAGAGGTAAGAATGTTCAGGTAATGTTAATCCCACCATAAAGCTGATTTAAAGCACTCATGTGAGACCCTTGCCCTATTTTACCCTGTAACATTAATCTGTAAACATCAAAGCTACTCCACACACTGATAGGAATCCACTGCTCTAATGTTTGACCACAAGATCCCTTGAAGCCAAAACTAGTCCACAGCCTCATTACATCACCCATAGTCTCTTGCTCACCCTGATCCCTGCCCTTAACACTACCATTAACATGCTCTATTTAGCCCTAGACTTCTTGCAGACCTAAACAAAACCAAAGAACTTGCACATACCCTAACCACAGACCTGACACCACAAGCCAAACACCAAACCCTCCCACTAAATATTTGATTAGTCTCTATCACAGAAAGCTGAGCCCTAGTCCCTAACCTCATACATGGATGCCTAACAACAAAAGCTCTGATTCCTTTGCATTCACTTCTTCACATCCAGCCCTTTCCCTAACCCTTAACTTAAGCACTTAAGGTGCTTGGCACTTATCTCAAGCACTTAAGGTGTTTGGCCCATGATGCAGGGTAATAACCATGAGGTTGCTCTGCAGTCACATGGCATGCAAAGATGAATGTGAGGGGCCATGGATCTGATCAGCTTCTGGACAACAAGGAGGAGATGGGTGGGAATGCTCTGAGGAGCTCAGCTCTGCTTCAGGATCTCCTGCCCCAGCAAGAGCAATGTGACTGTGGCAGTGACTGTGAGGTCACTTCTGTCTCTGCACTTGATAGGGCAGCAGCAGGAACGTGTCACAGAAAGGGACTGTGAGGTCACTTGTGTCTGGAGGTGGTAGGTCAGCCTTGACTTCTCCCTGGGAGCTGCACTTTTGGGCTGACATCTGGCAGTGGCCCTGCTAGGCCAGCAGAAGGCACCTGCTTGACATGCTGATTGGGGGATCCCCTCTGCCTCCACACCCAGGAGGACCCAGGCAGAAAGAAGGCCCCCAGATGGGTTGTCATGTCCCTTCTACTTGAGTCCATGAGTGGGCAGCAGCAGGCACAAGGCTTGGCTGTGTCTCCACAAGAAGCTGCAAAGCCAGCAGCAGGCCCCTGGCTTGGAAGCTGCTGCTGAGGTGACTTGTGTCTGGTTGGCTGAGAGGCTGAAAGGAGCCTGCTGGGTTGGGATGCCTACTTCAGGAGGGGTTTCCACTCTGAGGGAGCTTCCTTTGGTAGTAGGAAAGAGCAGAAGAAAAAACTTCCACAAAGTACACCTTGGAAGTTAAGCATTGGCCACAAGGAGGAAGAAATGTCCCTCAAAGTACATTGCTGTGGTGCCAGAGGTCACCCTCTGATTAGACCGTCTCTTTGTGTTTCAAGGAACATCTGGTGAGGGCTGACGAGACATCAGTGAAAGCAAGGGATGAACGCAAGATGGTGAACAGAGATGGGTGTCTGAAGACTTCAAGGAAATAGGTCAGACTGTGGCACATGATAGGAAAGCCTGCAGAGGGGAAGACAGAGGGTACTGGTAGAAATGGTAGGCCCAACAGCCCTGAAATTTCTGTCCTCTTGCCTAGAGCTTATGAGGAAATATATTTTATTCATTGTGATGAGGCCTCATCGATTCCTTGCAACCCTGTGCAGCACCTCAGAGGTGTCATACCAGTGTTGTTCTCATGGCATCACACTGCCCACCACAGCCCACAGACCCCAGCAAGAGCCTTGAGCCAGACGTGGGGATGCAGGATCTCCCCTCCCAGTGTCTCGGGCCAACCCTTGGCCCTTCTGCATCACCAAAACAAACCAAGACTTCTCTCAGCACAGTGCTTTGCCTGTCTGTAACCATGGCCTCCAATTATCTGCCCTAACTAGTCCCTGGGGAGGCTTTGTTAGTAACAGCCCTCAGTGGGGCCCATTAATACTCCAACTCACTTCAACTTTTCCTTCTGACTTTACTTTCTCTAGCAGTTGCATCATTCACCTCTCAGTACCTGAGCTTCACAGACTCAGCATGAAAATACACCATGGATCTCATTAAAATGCAGAAACTCCTAACATCTCTTTGATAGTTTTCTTCAAACCTT